TGGTATGTATGTATGTATGTATGTATGTATGGATGTATTATATGTATATATATATATATATATATATTGCAGGATCATACTTGCCTGAATGTTTACTTCCATCTATATGTGCATGCGTGTTGTACTGTTTACTCTTATTATCAATAGGGTTCAAAGTGCGGCTGATAACCTTGTAACCTCTGTTCAACTCGCACCAAGCTAATGAAAATACTGTCAAACAGCACCTGGCCCGAGTCCGTCTTAAAATCATACCTTTCTTCAATACACAAACCCATTTCTATTTTCCTTTTGGCTTAATCCCGAATCCTCCCGCTCAATTCCTGCACAGGCCAACGTGATGCTGGAGTACCCCATAGACGAAGCTGAGGAGTTGCTAAACAAGAATCTGCACCAGACGGAGGAGAGTGTGGCGTCGCTCGCGGAATCATTAGACTTTGTACGTGAACAGTGCACTATCACCGAAGTCAACATCGCCCGGCTGTACAACTGGGATGTACGCCGCCGACGCACGCAGAAATAAAACTAAAGATTAGGAGCCTGTCAACTGGGTGTGAAGGTGTAAGGTGTATGGTGTAAGGTAGGAGTCAGGTGATGGTTAGAGACGATGATCTAGGATCGTTTGTTTAGTATCGTGCAGGAGACCTTCCGTCTCATACATGTAGGTTTTCGGAGACCTTCCGTCTCATACATGTAGGAATTCGCAGACCTTCCGTTTCATACATGTAGGTATTCGGATATGTTACTTTCTATATATATTTGGTAAAACCCCTAAACCCTAAAACATTTTATTGTCGTCTATGAAAAGTCCGTGTTAAGTATCCGAATGCATATGATACCTACTATAGATAAAATATGTGGTGGCTTTAAACTATCGCGTATGATACTTTCTATAGATATTAAAAATATGGAATGGCCTCAGAACAACATCATATGATATTTTTCGTCTTTTTGACGAGTGCTGGTATTTCAGATTCCATTTTATTGTCGTCTATGATGAGACCGTGTTGAGAATAGCATAGTACATAGAGCAGGTGTCACAGCGTTCAATACAAGTGGTGTGAATTAGTGGGATCATTCAATGCCGCGCTATAGAAAGAATTAGCTGGTGAGTGGGTTGATGGTGTCCAGTGTCGCAATATAGAAAGAATTAGTTGGTGAGTGGTTGATGGTGTCCAGTGTGGCACTATAGAAAGAATTAGTCGGTGAGTGAGTTTATGGTGTCTAGTGTCGCACTATAGCATGAATCAGCTGGTGAGTGGGATTAGGGTGTACAAGTGGTATCATAAGGCCAAGTGCGTCCTGAGACAGGGTTGGATGAATTGAATGCTATGAACAGACGTTCTCACTAGGCGTATTCCGATACTCTCGGCCACCAGATGGCCTTCCACCATTTAATACAGCAATACAGCCCAACTTAAGACAACAGACTACGCGACGTGAGATAAACTTCAAGACAACAGACTACGCGACGTGAGATAAACTTCAAGACAACGGACTACGCGACGTCAGTTAAACTTCAAGATAACGGAGTACGCGACGTGAGTTAAACTTCAAGACAGCGGACTACGCGACGTGAGATAGACTTCAAGACAACGGACTACGCGACGTGAGTTAACCAACACGAGCTTTATTGATTAGAATATCCGATCTACCCTCTCTGGCGAGCGTATTACATCCATACAGAAGGAGCCCCACTACACTACTATACAGTTTGCATGGTGCCGCATCTCGCCATTGGCCTCAGCCAATACGACTGCCTTGTGACTTCACACGCTCGGTCACAGCGCTCAGAGTCTTCCGCACGGCGAGTCACATGGACGTCTCGCGCATGTATCTATCGCATTGTGCTGAACCTAATAACACCCCACAGAGACTCGTCCATAGCGTTGCCAAGCAACGGGGATAGAGGTACGGGACGATACTCTCCTTAATCTTACACACAGACGTGTGGCTGTGCTGCGACATGTCACAAGCATGTCCACCCACACCCACACACGCGAGGCTACGCTCGTTACGCACACGCTTTGTACCACACATCAGACCCAGACCCAGCCCCGCCCACATATTGCGGCGGTAGCTTTGAGTAGCCCACTTATTGCGGCGGTAGCTTTGAGTAGCCCACTTATTGCGGCGGTAGCTTTGAGTAGCCCAGCCCACTTATTGCGGCGGTACCTTTGAGTAGCCCACTTATTGCGGCGGTTGCTTTGAGTAGATGTACGCTCCCTTGTGGTATTTGTAGCCGAATTTCTTGGCTAGGTCGTCTCCGAGAGACGGACCTCGTGACCCGTAGGCGTAGTCATGCGACTCTACCAGCCCTGCGTCAATGTCATGCAGCAGCGGTGTGAAGATGCGCCACGCCTCAGCCAACTCGTCGGAACCTGAATGGGGCATGGGGGTTAAAACAAATAAGCATGGAGGTTATAACAAACAAGCATGGGGGTTAAACCAAACAAGCATGGGGGTTAAACCAAACAAGCATGGGGGTTAAAACAAGCACGAGGGTTAAAACAAGCACACGGGTTGGTTCGTGGCTGTGTTTCATGTTTTGGTGGACTTACTTATCTGGCAATGAGAGCCTATCGTATAATAGCATACAACCGAAGAGTATGGCCGCGACACCCCTCCAACGTGCCATCCAAATGTATATTTAACCATGGTTCGACATGATACGAATTGTTACACAGAAATGAAGAAGGAACCTTCACGCAAACGTGCGAGCCATACACCAAGTCGCTTGCCTACAGACACATCAATACAATCATAGTTATGCAGGGTTTCGAAGGATTAGGGTTTATGGTTTGTACATATATTCATGGGCAAGTCTACTTACGAACGAAGTGGCCCTGTTGGCCGCGGATGACATCCAGAAGCAGTCGCTCGTATGCGTCCGGCAATCGCTCGTCTTCAAACCGATCTTTGTATGTAACATCCAGTTCAGCCTGTGCAATGCAATAGAGATACGACCACGTTCAATTGAATGTATGAGACATTTAGTACAGCCTGTGATATGCAACAGAAATACGACCATGTTCAATTAGATGTATGGAACATTTAGTTCTGCATGTTCAATGCTATCGAAGTATGGTCATGTTCAATTAAATGAAGCCAACGATATGAAGCGCACTCGGGGTACAACATGGTGGATAGCTCACTTAGGCGGTGACAGACTTTGTGCTTGCATATACATATACATTTACACATACACATACACATACAAGTACACATACAAGTACACATACAAGTACACATACACATACACACACGCACGTATAACATTATCGATATACAACTACACTGTACTGCACGCACCTGGAGTGGCCTGGATCTGAGTCCAGGGCTCTTGATGTTGAGTTTCATGTAGACTGCTTCGTCTGGCTGCAATCGGATGACCAATTCGTTGCGGTGCACTTCGCCGCCCAAGGCACTGAAGATGTCTCCGGGAGCGTCTTTGAACTGAATGCGAATGTCTGCTTTACGCTCGTCTAACGCCTGTGTGTTTGGGTGTGAGGAGGAATGAAAGCATGAGTATGCTGAATGCGAATGTAGGCTTTACGTACGCCTGTGTGTTTAGGTATGAGGAGAAATGAAAATATGAGTATACCAGCACGTTTCGGGTATATACATGTAATTGGACGTGTGATAGCAGGAAGTGATGGGGGGGGGGGGTGATGTGAGTCATATATCCAAGTGATGGGGTGATGTAAATTGTATACTCACAGACAACAAAGCTGTGGAACTCCCGAGAGGATTTATCTTTAATTTTTTGCTCAATTGCGGAGTGCTACGACGGTGTTCTATAAATAGATGTGCCGCATATACAAAGTGTGGGATGTATGCGATCAACGCTATAAACGATGAACTCAACGATATCACAGGCCTGCCCTGATGTACGGGCGTGTATTTGTTCCAGAACGTTCGGCTTTTAGTAATGTGTGGGCGAACATAAGCACATAAAGCACATCACATGATGACTATGGCCCCGCCCGTTCATCGCTCGATTAAACATAGGCAGACCACAAACACACTCACTCTCACACACACACACAAAAAAACAAACATGAACATTAAAGTGTAAGTCCGCCATTTGTCGTAGCGTGTCAGCCTTCACAACAACGAACAATAAATTACTAGCGCCCGTTCCTAGTATAATGCACTGCAACTGCGGACATACGATGCAACAACCCCTACCCTCCCCTCCCCTGAGCCCAAAAACAAGGACAACAGCACACACACGCACACGTGACCGTACACACACACACACACACGAATTCACAAAAACACACACACATACACTCGAACGCTTACACACGCGCGTATGCACACAGATCACACCTTGCCGGCCTTCATAATGAAGGGCACGCCATCCCATCGCTCGTTCTCAACGTACAGCACCGTGGAGGCGTACGTGGGTGTCTTGGAGTCGTCAGGCACTGTCTTGTCATCCAGATAACCCAGTTTGCTGTCTTCGTCGTTGGGGATGTTCGATGCCACATACTGCCCCAGCACGGTATCGTCCATGGACAAGCCTTTGATCGCCTTCAAGACCTTGACCTGCACGAAGTGTGTGTATGTAATGGGTGTGTGAGTATATGTAATGGGTGTGTGAGTATATGTAATGGGGATGAGTGTATGTAATGGGTGTGTGAGTATATGTAATGGGTGTGTGAGTATATGTAATGGGTGTGTGAGTATATGTAATGGGTGTGTGAGTATATGTAATGGGTGTGTGAGTATATGTAGTATGCATGTGAGTATTGTAATGGGTGTGTGAGTATATGTAATGGGTCTGTGAGTACATGTAATGGGTCTGTGAGTATATGTAATGGGTGTGCGAGTATATGTAATGGCTATATGTAAAGGATGTGTGTGCGGATTGGCCAGCGGGTGTATGCATACCAATTACCCATATTTATATATGATTACATACATATGATTATATATTGTCATTTCGGGCGAACAGATCGAAGTACACACCACCAGATGTATCTCAGATCACACATAAGAGTGCTGTTTGAAACACATGTATTGATTTGGCTCCACGCACACGGTGATGTACAAGTATACACACACAACCGAGCCTATGCACGAATAAATACATTCTCACAAGTCATGTACACGACTATCCAGAAGTAAGAAGGCCTCGAGAGTGGACGATTGGCACCCGTGGCCATACCTTTTCATTGCGCAGATCATCAGCGTCCAGTGACGCGGGTTTCTCCATGGCGACAATGCACAGGACCTGAAGGATATGCAATCGTGTACCGTTATAAATAACAGGACGGGGGGTTGAATGTGCGGAACACAACGTCGAATATCAACACACATAGCTGGAAGCCACTGTGTAGTTGGTACTTTGGACTGGACTGGGGATGCATGAACACATCAATGACAGCAAGCTGTGGGGAAACCCTGAAGCCAAACCCTAGAACCCTACCTGAAGCAAGTGGTTCTGTAGGATATCTCGGATGATGCCGAACTCGTCGAAGTAGCCACCACGGCCTTGTGTTCCAAACGGCTGCAAAGAAGAGATCACGCAAACGCACGGCGTCAGAGTCGAGTGCAAATGTTGAAAAAGAGGGATTATGCCAACAAACGTATATGTATATGTATATGTATATGTATGTGTATATATATATATATATATATATATATATATATATATATAATATCTATAAATAGTATATATATATATATATATAATGAGGGTTGCGTTCCAGTGCACCTCTAATCTGATTTTGGGACACAGAATGTCCTATAGACTTATTATCAACTCCCATAATTCCAAGGTCGGCGAGCGTTCGCAAGGGGAATGAGCACATGGCAACACACGCCACTCAAACGTCCCATACGAACCACATTCTGCACGACAAAGCACACACCAATTGATTACCCGTATGACACCCTAGCACGTTAATAGTACACCAGACATCAACACACACAAGCCTAAGATATGTCACTCACAACATGGGAAAGAACGAAGATGGATTATACATCACCACTACACACACCAGAAGGAGAACAACACACCCCACAGCAACACACATACAACGAATGCACCTCGCAACACAGTGCACATAGCCTTATGAGCATCTTACTACACATTACACACACCAAAGGGAGAATACCACTATCCCAAAACCACTCACGCCCTGGAACTAAATCTCAACAACCGACAGATACCACCACAGTACACATAGCCTTATGAGCATCTTACTACACATTACACACACCAAAGGGAGAATACCACTATCCCACAACCACTCACGCCCTGGAACTAAACCTCAACAACCGACAGATACACCATATAATACACTACACGCACATAGAAAGAGCACCGTACACATGACAGACCCCATCCACTATCACCTAATCTCACACAGACGACACAACTGGCACACCAATATACTGTATAACACAACTGACACACTCACATACTATATAACAGAACTGACACACTCACATACTATATAACAGAACTGACACACTCATATACTGTATAACACAACAAACAGTCATATTCCATATAACACAACTGGCACACTCATATACTATATAACACAATAAACACACTCACATACTATATATCACAACTGGCACACTCATATACTATATAGCGCAGGCTACACACTCATATACCATATAACACAACAAACACATTCACATACTATACATCACAACTGGCACACTCATATACTATATAGCGCAGGCTACACACAGCACACCCACCTCTTTGAACGTGACTCGCACGCACTCAATGTAATTGCGGTTCCAGATGGGCTGGAACATGGCATTGGCAAAGCGCATAATCAGAAGATTCTGCACCATCTCCTTACCCAGGTAGTGGTCGATACGGTAAATCTGGTGGCCGTTGAACGAAAGAGGAAACGGGTCAAAAACAGTATAGAGGAGATTTATAGGTGGATATATACTGGAGACCGACTCAGCATCAAGTACTCGGGGTTAATGAATAAGGCAGATCTGGCGGTGTTTGACGGGTACATGGATGATACTGTGGTTAATCTTCGACAGACTCTCGCGATGGAGTATAGTCAGCGAGTGATCCAAACAGCGGATCAACAAAGCTTCAATGGAAACCCGCCACAGGGATGTATGGATGTATGGATGTATGGATGTACGCGCTGGAAAGTGTGTATTCTGATATACTACATATGACACGCATTTGTGACTGCGCTTCAAAGACATCCAAAGGGCCCAAGAACTTATTCTTATTAATTCAGATCAACGAGAATAGCCCTTGAAATTCATCTTCGTGACAACAGTATCGTGACAGCCTCAGCAATTGACACACACACATAGATACATACACACCCATATATATATACACATACACATACATATATATATATACATACACACACACACACATATATATATATATATATATATATAAACACACACAAGCACGCGTGGCACCGCTACCTGCTCTTCTGTGAATAGACTCGCGAGATGGTTGGAAAGCACGGCACTGCTCACGCTGTCCTTGCCGAATGGTTTCTCAATGATGACACGGGTCCACTTCTGAGACTCTTCAGAGGCCATGACCTCTGCTTTGATGTGTGTGGTGACTGGCTGGAACACAGACGGCGGAAGGGCCAGGTAGTGCATGCGGTTGGCGGCTGTGGAGGAAGGATAGGTGGATGAGTTAATTGGTACTTTGTACTAGGGTGCAAATATGCAAGTGGCAGATTGACAGATATGTGAATGACAAATTAAGTGGTACTTTATCACACACACACACCACTATATATATATATATATATATATATATACGTGTACGCATGATGAGATTGATCTTGCGACTACCACTTCAGCATAATTGGGTGAGCCTGCAAAAAGAAACAGTAACCGTGAACGGTAGTGCATGCACCAAACAGTTACATAGCAATTACAACGAATATATTACCACTGACAAACTGATATATTACAACTGCCCAAGTGTGCAGCAATACGCAGACGTGCTAGAATGGTAGCAGTGACAGTTAACAAGACATGTGTATCCGCTTGTTAACCCCGTTATTAACGTCTGGATGGGTGTGGTAACAGCTTCATACACCCGTGTGCACAGGCGTGCTATCTGAAGCGCGCCTCTACTCGGCACCAATCAGCTCGCAGGGGTTCGTGTCGCCCCTCTCCTCCCCGGGAAGAAGACACCACACACAGTACACAATGTGAAGAGCAGACACCACACACACACATATATATATATATATATATATATATATATGTGTGTGTGTGTGTGTGTGTTTATATATGTATGTAAATATATATATATAGGCTGTACACACAACATCCATCACACGCATACGCATACGCACAAAGGAATAGTATGTACCGATACTAAAGCAAAGCAACACACGCATGTGTCCCCACCCACCTGATTCAAAATTGTCCTCCCACTTCACTAACTCGTCGTTGAGATTCTTGAATGCTGCGCCGTCGTCGTACGCTCCAGCAACATAGGAGAGGAGCTCGAAAAACTTTTTCATCGTCTCTTTCTCGGCTTCTGTAGGATGGTCCATGCCATGTGTTGGAAAACATTCACATCCGGGTATTGGTTTATACATACGATTAGTATGGGTTTATACACACGATTAGTATGGGTTTGTACACACGATTAGTGAGGGTTTATACACTCGATTAATATGGGTTTTTACACATGATTAGTATGGGTTTATACACACGATTAGTATGGGTTTATACACACGATAAGTATGAGTTCATACACACGATTAGTATGGGATTATACACACGAATAGTATTGAAATACATATGCAAAGTATCACCGCAGCCACGGTGTCCTTGGTAACCGGAGCCTATTTGAATGACAGTCACCCCCAATTCATAGGCACTCATTTAAGTGTACATGTCCTATTTTGCATAAGCACGTCCCAACATAAAGTTACACATAGGCAATAGTGCGACAGACGTGTGTGTACTTGGCAACGGGCGATTGTGGGAGCAGAATACCTTGGATTCAGGACACATAAACAAATGGGGTTCGATTGTCGTACACACTCAGTAAGTTAATGCATGAGCATTCAGGGAGACCGAGCAAACGCACAGCATATACGCACACTTACCGTTCTTAGGCTTGATGTAGGGTGTAATCTTCTTGATAAGTTCATCCTTGGAGAGCTTCGATCGCGCGTATCCGACGATTTGGGTGTGTTGGGGTAAGAAATTGTGCACAAACAAGGAAAACAAGGTGGGATAGGTCTTCTTGGCAGCCAGATCACCGGATGCACCGAACACAACGATGGTAAGTGGACTATCCATGACCTATAACAAAGTGGATTTGAGGAAGGGGATCAGTAAAGATGAGTTAGTAGGATAAGCTTGGACAATACGAGGCCACAAGGACTCGAATAAGATATCAACCGATACAGGCTATCGGTACAATTCACAAATCAGAATCCCTTCATATTATAGATATATAGATATATATATATTTAGATTTATATATATATATATATATATATATATATATACAAAATAACACATATATTACATACATATATATATATACAACACACACACTATATA